TAGCAAATGCTGAGTTAGAATTCCTGGGAGAATGGCAACAGCATTCCGAGAGAGTGGCTGAGAAGTTCCCAAGACTGAGCACGATGTGTGTGTTCGGAACTACATGAAACACAACATAAGCTGCATGGGATTCATGTAAATTCATGTAAAAAGGCCGGGGTACAGCTCAGACTAGAGAATTCACTTCTAATGCACAGGTTCAGTCGCTAGCCATCCACTGCAAAAACAACTCCCAAACCCTCTAACCCGATGGGTGGCCTGTGACTACGGTCCCTGCCTCTAAAGAGGCAGGGCAGGAAGACAGCCTGAGCCCTGAAATTTGAGGCCAGTCTGTGCTATATGGCAAGACCCCTTCATAAGGAAAAATACTATGTACAAAAATTGTAGTCAAGTGTCAAAACATCCCCCCCCCAAAAAAGTAGGTTTTAGGAGCAACCAAAGGGGCTAGAGTGGACAGCTCAGAGATTAAGAACACTGACTGTTATGGCAGAGGGCCCAAGCTTGGTTCCCAGCATCCAAGATAGGCACTCACAGCAAGTGGCCTGTAACTCCAGCTCTGAGGGATCTGGTGCCCTCTTCTGGCCTCAGCAGACATTGCACACATGTGTACAACATGCAAGTTATCTATTGGGATAACATGTTACAAAAAGCTAAGAAAAGTTAGCTGTCAGTCTGAAGTTGGGTACTGAGTCCCAAAGTGTTTTTAGAACAAAAGCTAAACAAAGCTACTTTCATATTATCAAAACCTGAGAGAGTATAATCTTCCACTAAAGAGACCCTCATCAAAGGGATTTCTAAGTGATATTCTCCAGGCAGAAAAATAATTCCTGACGGGAGACCAACACTGCAAGAAGAAAAAGTAGGAAGAAATGTGCTGGTCTTATCTGGAATGGTAATTTGGGAAATTATTACTGATGGATATGTTTCTTTTCATATCAGAATGAGGGTCTACAGTGAAGTGCAAGGAACATTTTTATCAGATTTTGATAACCTATTTGTCTTTCAATTCAGTTTGGTAAATTTCATTCTCTCTATGAAGATATAAATTTCTGTTCCATGAAGTATCTAAAATAAATACACTGTTTAGCAGCTTTTTTTAGAAAGAAAAAGAGACAATCTTTTTATTAGAATTGGTAACAGACCTACTAGCACCACTGCTTGAATTGCCACCACCATCATGAGATCTAGAATTGAAGGTGTGAGAAGAGATGTGTGCCTCAAAGGACCACAGATGGCAATGCAGCAATCAAAAGCTACAGCCAATAGAAAACCGGACTCCACGCACTGCAAGATGTGCATGAAGAACACCTGGGCTAGGCAGGCATCAGAGGCCATGGAATAAGCTCTAAACTAAAAGATTGATGCGGGAGAATTGTCTGTATTCTGTCAATCATATTTTAATAAAACACTGATTGGCCAGGCAGGCAGTATAGGCGGGAAAACCAGACAGGAAGTAGAGGTGATGCAATGAGAACAGGAGAATTCTGGGAAGCAGAGAGGTTCCTCTGCCACTCCTGCGCAGACCACCGAAGAGGCAACATGTAAGCTGACAGCTGAAAAAGGTACCAAGGCACGTGGCTAACATAGATCAGAATAATGGGGTAACATAAGTTATAAGAGCTAATAAGTAGCCTGACCAAATGGGCCAATCAGTTTATAACCTAATGTAGACTTTGTGTGATTTTCTTTGGGATTTGTGGGGTACCGGGCGGGACAGAAACCCCAATGAGCCGGCCCTTCATGTTACAAAAGATGGCCAACATTCTGGGGGCAATAGCTGTACAGCGACATAGCTGCTAGCATGGCCAGAGGGGATGTACAGGGGCATAGTGCAAACTCCACTAAGCCGGAATGATGATCATAAATGACATTTCCCAAAAGTCACTAGATACACTGCACAGAATAGAAATCCAACTCAAAACTTCACATGCTCCAGTCCGGGAATTCCAATCAAAATTACAGTTCTGGGGTTCATATATGACATGCTGGGTTTCACTGAGCTCAGTCAGCATTCTGTCTTCTCACCACTGACCATGACACCTTAAATTTCGGCTTCAGAAGCTGGAAGCAATAACTTGGACCTCCTGTGGAAGGTTGGGGCTCTGTTTTCTCAGGTGTTTGAGGAACAGGTGTTCCTTCCTCCCAATTTACATTCATGCCTTGGATAGTTCTGAGGCATGAATACATATTTTCTTTAATAGAAGTTTACCTTATTTTTAGCTTCAAGGTTGGCTTTTCATTCAAGCAATTTATTGACTAGTGAGATATTTAGCATAATGGAGTGCAGTATTACTATCAAAATCCACCAGGTTTGGCTCTGTAGAGGAACAGTGGCACAAATCTCCTCTGGACACTGTACTGTCTATCAATCACAACAATAAATGAGAAGCCAGTTTCCTATTTCAGATATATAAACTAATGTTTAATATTACAATTTAAAGCATGAAAATCAATTAAATTTAACTAGGACAAATACTCAAACACATTTCACTTAAGAAGAAAAATGTAACCCACCTTCATCAATGGGGTTATGTTTTCACTATCCTGAACATTAATTTTGCATGGATTCTTAATTAAGAGACACACAATATTTATGTATCCATTAGCACAGGCCAAAAGCAAAGGTGTTCTATTTTGATATAATAAAACATGAAGTTAGAGATATATCTCAATTAGTTGTTTATTTTTCCCTTCAGCAAGCAAGATTAAATATTAAGATATTTTTATGCATTTGTTTGCATTTATGAAAATTTATACTGATTAAAATTGATTTTCATGAGCTTAAAAGTCTAAGCAAATATCTTGAAAAATTAAGTACCACTTTAATGAAAATTTGGCTCTGTGAAATTTAAAGATTTTTCCCGATTTATCTTCAGAAGAGATGATAAAATAAGATAACCCTATCACAATTCAAACTGCTCTCCAAAACTCAGAAACATGTATAAGTAACAGAAAAGGCAATGTCAAAGGCATCTCCCCTATTGTGTGTGTTTCTCTGCCCACCCAGTAGAACTGACATTTCCATCTAAAGACAAAAATATGGGTAAGAATTTAAGAACTCACTAAATTGTATATTTTATGTTATCATACTTATTGTTCTTTTAAAAATACCATGAACGGATGTCCCGGGCAGCTCGCGAAGCAGCTGCAAGTGGCAGCGCCATGCGGCGGGGGGAGTCAGGGTCCCCGGGCGAGCAGCAGAGTCAAGCGGCTGGATACGGTGGACAACAGAGTAAATAGACATAAGACTATACATAAAGCTAGACATTTATTACTTAAAGAAAGAAAAACATAGACAAACATAGAAAAAAGACACATATACACACATACACACGCACACATACACACACACACATGCGCACGCACCCACACACACGCGAGAGAGAGAGAGAGAGAGAGAGAGAGAGAGAGAGAGAGAGAAGATGGCGGTGGGAGGAGGGTCAAAAGTGGCTGGGATGGGCGTGGTTAGTTCTTAAAGTGTCCCAATGGAATAACAATACTAATTTTCACTTCTTAAAGGACTACGGGTTCAGCGGTTTTACATTTTATGTTATCATACTAATTTTCACTTCCTAAAGGCGGTTTTGTGGTGGCACACACCTTTAATCCCAGTACTCAGGAGGCAGAGGCAGAGGGTCTCTGTGAGTTCAAGGTCAGCCTGGTCTCCAAGAGATAGTTCCAGGACAGGCTCCAAAGCTACAGAGAAATCCTTCGGGGGGGGGGGGAGAAAAAAGAAAGAAAGAAAAAGAAAAAGATATTCCACATGATCCATATGAAATCTCAGATGTCATGTCCCCTCTTCATATCTACCTAAACAGACCGGTATTAACCTTCAGGAGCAGGAAAAGTAATTACTCTCAAGAGACGGCTTGAAAAAATGATAACATTCAACAAAGATAAACTAATTAAAGCTCTTACACAATGATGTAAATAACTACCTATGGTAGTAAATTTTTAAAAGCATAAAAAACAGTTTTGAACAATCTGATGATTCCAGTTCAGATCACTTACTGAAGCTACAGAGGGAACGATAGTAATGCAACTAACTAACTACATTGAAAGTCAGAACTCTGATCAATTACACTGTTCAGCAGATGAAGACACAACAGTCAGGAGGAGGAGTGTCCAACCGTGGACTTTATCTGTTTGTTTGCTTGCTTGCTTGCTTGCTTGCTTGCTTGCTTGCTTGCTTGTGACTGTGTAACAGCCCAGAAAGGCTGGGACTTGCCCTGTAGACCAGGCTGGCCTTGAAACTCGCTAGAGCGCCTTAGCTGCTTCTGGAGTGCTGGAATTAAAGGCTTGGATCACCAGCCCAGCTTTAGAACACAGAATGGAACCAGGTCGTTCACACTGAACTAACAACCTTTGTGTTTGGTGGGAGGGAAAAGAGAGAATAATGGTAGAAAATGTGATTTTAAAAACCCGTATGTAAATCGATATTAGTAGATACCAGCAGATAGTTAAAAAAAAAAATCACAAAAAAAGATCAGCTAGGTGTAAGTCCCCGTCTCTGGCCTCCATGTTTGGAGGTTCCATCCCTGTGTCTGCCAAGCCTTGACCTCTCCCCAGAAGAGAATCAAGACAGCCCACCAAAATCTTGGCCCCCGCCCCCCCCCGTTTAAACTGCTTCCCTGGAAAGTTTCCTTGTGGTCTCTTTCCTCTCTCCCCTGTGGTCTTGTTCAGGGCTTCCAGGTTCCCCCTGGGACCTCCCAAGACTGCAGGAATCCCATTAAGCCTGTATATTTTTTTAATTTGGCTTGTTGTGATTTGGCTTGATTGGGATTTTTGTGTTGGCAGAGAGCTCACGTTAGGAAAATTCCTAACACAAGGAAAAAGTATTAAATACATTGAGTAAAATTGAAAATTATTTTTAAAGAAAGATTCTAAATGAAATCTGAATAAATGGAACGGATACTTTGTAATCATGGAAAACACTACTTTGTGAGACAAAATGATTTATACATCATAAACTAGATAAAATGATCCCCAAACTATCTTTCCTATTATTCCCTCCTTTGAAGCAAACTTCTAGTGACTACTGATCTAGTTCCTTAATAATATTGATATTATATTACTAACTTCTTGGTAAAAATCTGTAATTTGGCTCAAAATGAACTTCTTTAAATAAAAAGTTCATCTAGCATTCAACACAAATACAGAAAGCTACAGACTTTTAATCCTGTCTATGATAACTCATTGAAGAAACACATCTATGCATAAGTGTGGGCATATATGTAAGTGTATATTTATACATATCTACATATACATGTAAAATTTTAAGAATTTACTGCTAAGGAACTTTGATGTTTCTGTCCAAACATTAGATTTATCACTGCCTGCTTTCTACAAAACTAGATTGCTTATTTTCTTGTTATTGTTATTTTTTTTTAATTACAGACAAATACACGGACCTCTGTGGGGTTGAATTTCTCAATCAAACAATCTGGAAATGCTGGGAACTTTCTGAGTTTTGTTCAGTAGTAATGAATGTGCTTATTGGTTAGTTTAGCAAGTTTATTTACTTTATCACAGATTCTACATACTGCCTGGTTTGCATACTTATATATATTTGAAGCATATATTTGTTGAGGAAATTAATTCAAAGCTAAGCAAATGAGTGCTAAAAAAGGTTGCACAGTGGAGCTGGAGAGATGACTCAGTCATTAAGATCACTAACTGCTCTTGCCGAGGACCTGAATTCAGTTCCCAGCACCCACATCAGGCAGCTCACAGCTGTCTGTAACTCCAGATCCAGGGGATCCAGTGCCCTCTTCTGCCCGCGGCAAGGAAGGAAAATATGATGTACATATATTCAAACAGGCACACATACAAATAAATAAAAAATACTTTTTAAAAAGAGATGAATGTGTAACAAAACAGAAAAACAGTCATTGTTTAGTCAAGAAGTTCGTTACTTTATGCAAAGTTACCAAACTTCTTTTCACAGAAAATATGTCGTTTATTTTGGCATTCCCAGGCTTAAAGTCTTAGTAATTTCATTCTTGGTGATTGCCTCTCCTATTTTTTTTGTTTTCACTTTAGCAAAATATAAGCATTAAATTGTTGGCCACAATGCATACCAAGACTCAAACCAGCAAAAGGTCGAGAGAAAACAGTGTACAGTGAGGATTAAGGGGAAAGGAGAAGGCTCCAGCACCCAGACAAACATTCACAAGTTAAATTAGAAGCCAAAAGCTCAGGTGTGGCCCTGTGCGAAAGACAGTGCCTCTGCTCAGGAAAACCCACAATGGCATCTAGTCTTAAGCAGCCCTGACCTGCTAACGCCCTTCTAGATCCTGGCCTCTGGTCATCTGTTTCTTTTGTCCCGCGCATTCACATCATGCTTCTTGTGGTCAAGATGCTTCTTTAACTTCTGCACATTGCCCATTGAAGCAGCTTTGTGAAGCTTCTTAATGTGCTTACCCTGAAGGTGATGCTCCTCACCTGCGGAAGGGCTGGGGACAGGACTGGCCATGCCGGTGGACAGTTCTGAAGAGCAGCCGTGGGGATCGTCGTTCTTTCCCTTCCCCCAAAAGCTGAATAACTTCTTCGTGGTGACAAGGTCTTTAATTCTGTCTGAGATGTTCCTGGGACTCCTAACCAACAGCCCTGGTCCCCTGCCCCAACCACCTCATTGACAGCTACCTCCTGACCTGACCAAATTCTGAGGAATCTTTGCCTGTCTACATCCCGGGACTAGAGCAGGTCTCCGGTACTTACAAACTGCTCGGGGCTTTCACTGTGCAACCTCGGTTTTGATTGTGAGCCAGTTCGACCCAGTTTTTATGTATAACTTGCGTTTGGCTTTACTGTCACACACAGAATCTTACCATTAGACCCTGAGCCTTGAAAATAAATCTATTAACTTACAAAGAGTCCATCTTCCCTTGAGGATAGATTTACTAGCCTGAACTCTAACCAAGTGAGAGTTCCCTTGTGGCTATGCCCCTCATGCTCCACCTTACCTCATCTAGTCACAAAGTTGACAATTGAACTCACCATTTATTTTATCACTTTTTTCGGACCTCACCCACCTTTCACTGTGCCTTCGCTCTTCTGTTTAACTAGACTGAATTCTACATCCATTCACTAAAATCACTTCCGTGAAAATGTCCTTAGTAAATTCCCCTTCATTTCTTCTGGGCCTAAGCCAAAGCCCTAAGCAAAATTGAAACGTTTGTCTGCCCTGAGACTCTGAATATGGCTAAAGAAGAAAAGCCCATCATGACGCTGTTAATTTTCATTTTGAGTTCAAGAACATCACCTTAAGGAGACTGGCACTCTGTCCAGCAGCACTGAACTCTGTCCCTGGCCCACCTGATGTCTCATTTCCCTCCACTGTTTAGTATGTTCTCTCTTCAAGGCTCCTTGGCTACTGACATTGCTTCCTAATTGTTTGAGAATGACAATAGAGAAATTCTTCAGGAGACTAATAAGCCTACATAATTACCTGCATCTTACTAAAACAACAACAAACATTTTACCATCTTCCTCATGTAGAGTACGTATCCATAGTCCTATCAAAAGCCAGTATCTTTCTTAGGTGTCCTAGATACTGTAGCCTATCCAAATACATTGCTTACGGAAAATCTCCCCTGCTTCCCTTAAGTATCTTAGAAGTTTCCTTTACTATTCACTAATTCTGACTAGCATAAATACATGCGAAGATATGTCCCATCGAGAACCAAAACATCCTGGGCATGGTGGCACATGCCTGAAACCCCAGCATTTGGAAGAAGGAGACAACAAGATCAGAAATTTATGGTCATCTTCCTTTACATTAGGAGTTTAAGGCCATCCTGGGCTACATTCTTCTATGTCAACAAATTATAATTCCCTTTGCAGTCATGACCTTTTACCCTTATCATTCTGTTGACATTGCTTTTAAACAAAATTGACCATTGTCTCCATCAAGTCAAATCCAATAGTTACTTGAATTTTCATATCAATAGAACAACATTTGGCATGGGCAATCATTTCTTACTCAAAAAAAAAAAAAAAACCTTTTATTTAGGGCCAGCAAGCTGGTTCACTGGATAAAGTGTTTGTCACCAAGCCTGACAACCTAAACTTGATCCCCCAGAGTCCACATGGTGTAAGAAAAGTACCGACTACTTAAGTTGTCCTCTGACCTCTGCTTGTGTATTGTCGCGTAAACTCTACCCTCTCCAAACAGAGAGACACACTAAATTACCAAAAATGTCATTTTAAAAAAACAGAACAGTTGCCTACTTAGGCTTTACCTTTTTTATGGTTCATCCTCACACTAATTTGTTTGTTGTTCTTGATCTCCAATAAACAACCATCAACAATGCCTCCATCCTTGAAAGCGCTCATAAAACTTTATACCTATATTGAAACTGAAATCACACCAAATCTAACTCAATGAACCCAGAATCTATTTTGTTTTTTAAATCCTATATTTTTACTATATTCATTCAGTCCTGTGACTGAAATACCATTCCCAGGTTTTTGAACTCCCAAACTGAGAATCCTGTAGTCATTAATAAAATTCCCATGCAGTAACTGGAAAATACCCAGAATTTGAAAACTACTTGCAATGCAATGTCTACTGGCATCATTTCTCTTATGTGCATTAATATTTTTTAAGTAGTATTCTTGCTGGTCCTCACGTTTCTTCCCTTGTTGTACTTCACTCTTTTAGAACTATTGTAAATCCACCAAGCTAAGTGATCTGGATCGTTTCAGGTAAGGTCATTTCTCTGTTAAATCTTTCTAATATCTTCACAACTCCTTTGTATTAAAAGCTGGCTTTCTTATAATGAGCTGCAAGTCCTTGACCCCAGGTTTCCTTCCCTCCACTTGATCTCAAGCTCTCCAGCTTAGGGGAACTCGACTGCAACAACCACCTTCAGTGTTTTCTCAACACACTGTGCATGTTTAAAGATTAGATTACCGTGTGTCCTTTTTCTAGGGTTTTCATCTTGCAGCCGTGGCATCATCTCAGAGCAGAAAGCAACCTCTCTGTGCTTTATGATTTACCTCAAAACAGGGAATAACCCTTGGGTGACCACAGGAAGGTTAGGGATACTTACCCTAGAATAGTTGTCCAAAAAGACAAAGAGCCAGAGAGAATGAGGTTAATAAAATCCTTAATGAAATGACATTTTGTGAAGAAAAGTATATCTTAAAAGAAGGAGTCAAACCAATAAAGGAGCAAAGTATTAGAGACCCTGAGCCCCGTTGAGGCTTTCTATAAGATGGGACATGAAAACTGAACTCTGCCCATCGTGAGAAAAGCTTTAAAAAATTTTAACATACTATCTTTTCTATCACAGGGTTAAACAGGACCAAGCTCCATTTTAAGGTTCATTTTTAATGAATCACTGGCAAGCATTTTAAAGCAGGGTGTGTCAAAACCAAACAGAAATGAACTTTATTGGAATGTTTACCCCTTTCTCTTGACTCATCTGTTTATAAAGGATTCTTGGCTGCCTCTGGTCAAGGTGAGTTGAGAAAATGAAAGTATCAGTAGTTGACACAAATTGAAGGGTTCACATTTTCTCCCAGGTCAAAGGTTTCTGAATGCTGACTATTGCATAAGATGTTTTCCAAAGCCCCACTTAACCATTAGTATTAAATGCTGATAGTCAGCACTGTCATATATTTCATGAGAGTTTTTCTCTCTTAAGTGTAAATGCTGTGTGATGAGGAGACAGCTTCCTGGGTTGTTGAAACTCCCACACTGTCTATGATGACTGCTTACCGTCTCTACCTGTCTCCCACTCTAATTTTGCTTTGTTTCACCAAGGAGAAAAGAGAACTTCCACACATCTTCAGGACCACACTAGTCTTCTTGCCTGACTGTCCACTCATTGTTTCTCTTCTAGTAAGGAATAAAAAGTTGCCAAGTAGTCCAGCCCTTATCAAGGTGACCACTTCCTACTTGTAAACGATGTTTATTAAAGTTTTCATCATTAAACATGCAAATCAATGCTTCTATACCCTTACAAAATGACTAAATGTCGGAATCCCATCCCAGCCTTCATCCAGGCACACCTTCCTCTCTTCCCCCCATCCCCCTGGGGTCACAAGATCTCCCCAGAGCTGCTCCCTTGCGCGCTGAGCCTGGACTGTGGGCTCAGCCCGGCAGGGGCAGTTCCTGTGCTTTGAGAGCCTGCCTGAGCACAGGCAGGCCCTGTGTCGGCTCAGACACATTCCTGGCCAGCAAGAGACAGTGAACTTCTAGCAGACATCCATTGGAGGAGGGGTGAGTTTGCTCCTGGCCCAAGGGCTTCAGCTAGGAGGAATTCAGACTTTCCCCGCCCCCCTCGACATTCTGGTCACCCTGCAGTGCTGGCCCCACCCTACGGAGCTCTCCCGAATCCCATCCCAGCCTTCTTCCAGGCACACCTTGCTCTCTTCCCCCCCATCTCCCTGGGGTCACAGGATCTCCCCAGAGCAGCTCCCTTGCGCGCTGGGCTAGGGCTGTGAGTGCAACCTGGTAGGAGGGAGTCCCTGTGTTTCAATAGACTGCCTGAGGAAAGGTAGACCTTCTGTCAGTGAAGTCCCTGCCCAACAAGGGAACCTGACCTGGTACCAGAAGATCCAATATAGAGCATTTGAAGGAAGAGATGGGCAGACACCAAGGAAAGAACTCCTCCAACAATCTAAAAAACAACATGAAATCACCAGATCCCAACGACCCTACAATAGAAGGACCTGAACCTCTTAATTCAGAAGTGGAAAAAAGTGCCATTATGAAAGCAATAGAGTCCCTTAAACAGGATATGAATAACTCCCTTAAAGAACTGGATGAGAAATACAACAAAAAGATTGAAGAAATGAGTAAAGAAATGGATGAGAAGTATAACAAAATATTCGAAGAAATGAGTAAATCCGTGAATTTACTGGGAAACCAAGAAAAATCAATCAAACAGGTAATGGAAACAGTTCAAGAATTGAAAACTGAAATGGAGGCAATGAAGAAAACACAAAACGAGGGCCGGCTGGATATGGAAAATCTAGGTAAACGAACAGAGACTACAGAATCAAGCATAACCAATAGGATACAAGAGATGGAAGAACGAATCTCAGAGCCTGAAGATACCATAGAGAAAAGAAATGCTCTGATCAAAGAAAACAGCAAATCCAACAAATTCTCATCACAAAACATTCAAGAAATTTGGGACACAATAAAAAAACCAAATCTAAGAATAATAGGGATTGAAGAAGGAGAAGAACTGCAGATCAAAGGCCCAGAAAATATATTCAACAAAATTATAGAAGAAAACTTTCCCAACCTAAAGAATGATATTCCTATGAAGGTTCAAGAAGCATACAGAACACTGAATAGACTTGATCAAAAAAAAAACTCCTCGCCATATAATAATCAAAACACAAAACATACAGATTAAAGAAAGAATATTAAGAGTTGCAAAGGAAAAAGGTCAAGTAACTTATAAAGGTAAACCTATCAGACTTACACCGGACTTCTCTATGGAAACCATGAAAGCCAGAAGGTCCTGGATAGAGGTACTGCAGAAGCTAAGAGACCATGGATGCAAACCCAGACTACTATACCCAGCCAAGCTATCATTCATTATCAATGGAGAAAACAAAATATTCCAGGATA